AGACTCTGTTTCAAAGAAAAAAAAAGTTCAGAATCCAGGATGTAGCAGTCAAGGCTTTCATGGGCTGTCCTCTTGCATATTTTATCTCAGCGTTCTTTTGCATGTAGCTCATGGTTGGAGGCAGCTGTATGGAATTGCCTGCGTTTCCTTCTCCCGACATCGCACTAGTTCTATGTATATAAATATTCAGCTTTTATGTATACACATATTCTTTGTTGAACCAGGTTTAAACTCTCTAGCAGTGGGGATCATGCTTTACAAATGTTTGTGTCCTTAATGATTTGCAAACACCACCACTCCCCTTCATAATTTAGGAAATAGTGAGCTGGGTTTTTTTTGTTTTTTTTTTTTTTTGAGACTGAGTATGGCACTGTCTCCTAGGCTGGAGTGCAGTGGTGCAATCTCGGCTCACTGCAAGTTCCGCCTCCCGGGTTTACGCCATTCTCCTGCCTCATCTTCCCAAGTAGCTGGGACTACAGGTGCCCATCACCATGCCCGGCTAATTTTTTGTATTTTTAGTAGAAAAGGGGTTTCACCGTGTTAGCCAGGATGATCTCGATCTCCTGACCTCGTGATCCGCCCGCCTCAGCCTCCCAAAGTGCTGGGATTACAGATGTGAGCCACAGCGTCCAGCCGGTTTTGATTTTTATCATATAAACTTAGATACTACTTTTAAACAAGTTTGAAATTATTTTTAGGACACTTTTCCTCCAAAACTAGTGGTATGTTTAATTTAGGTGTTTGTATGCTACTGTGCCTGCAGTAAATTAAGGCCGAGCGAAAGCGCAGTAGATAGGGCTCTGCTGGAGGTGAGCAGGTACCAGAGGTGCACAGCGAGGTCTGAAGAACTGCGCAGGGGAACACGAGATGATGAAGTGTGTTATTAATAGCATTAATGGAAATAATGACATGCACAGCCTGATGAGTGGAATGTTTACCCATATACTAAGCACTCAATAAATCTGATGTATTTAGGCAGCAATGATCAGTAGCAGCTTCCACCAGTTCTTGGGAATTTAATATTTAAATGCACATATGGCAAAGAAAAAAAATAGGATTTGGTCAGTGTAAATTTTTTGTAATTTATTTCTCTTTTCAAGCGGAGTCTTTGTGAAAGTGGTGAAAAGTACATCCCACCTCATGTGAGGCGAGCTGAGGAGACAGTGGACTTCAAGAAAAAGGAAGAACTAGAAAGGCTGAAGAAACATGTAAAAGGTTTACTTAACAGGTGACCTTGCAGTATTGTTACACTGTATCATTTAAAGAGGTTGTCTGTTTTCTAAAAATGTAGGAGTTATCCTAGCAATTCAAATAGAAGTGATGAGGACAGTCGATTAGATCCTTTCTGTTCTTGATACACCCAGACCCATACCTGGAGAAGGAGAGGATACCCAACTGTTGGATACTTTGAATCCCTTCAGGGTTTGAGAGCAGCCCCAATGCCCACATTGTTATTCTGAGAAGCAGGAAGGAATAGGGCAGAGGTTATTGTGCGTCTAAGGACAGTGTTGGAAGGACTGGTCTATTTTCCCTCTGCAGGAACACGTTCACCTGCTCTTCCATCCCCCTTACTCATTGCTCATGTCTGCATTTTTTTGTTACACAGTTTGAGAACAGAACATTTAAAAAACTGATTGGAAACCATACCGGTGGGGCTTTGTCAGTTACGCGTGCCCATCAGCTCTTTGGTTTTGAGGGTGTATACGTGTGATTTTTTTTGAGATGGAGTTTTTGCTCTTGTTGCACTAGGTGGAGTGCAATGGCGCGATCGTGGCTCACTGCAACCTCCACCTCCCGGGTTCAAGCGATTCTCTTGCCTCAGCCTCCCGAGTAGCTGGGATTACAGGCATGCACCGCCACGCCAGCTAGTTTTGTATTTTTAGTAGAGGTGGGGTTTCTCCATGTATGTCAGGCTGGTCTCAAACTCCCGACCTCAGGTGATCCACCTGCCCTGGCCTCCCAAAGTGCTGGGATTACAGGCGTGAGTCACCGCACCCAGGCAGGTCTGTGTAGTTTTATCACATGAAGATTCAAGTTACCACCACTGCAATCGAGATAAAACTCACCACCATCTCTCTCCTGCTGCCCCTTCGTGACCTCACCCACCCCCTTGTATTGCTTTTTGTTTCCTATTATCTTGGGAATTTACTGTAAACCTCTGTTTTAATGTTGAGTTCTGTATTAGCACAGGTGCACAATGAATAACCTTCCATGTACATGTGTATGTAGTCTCCCCTGCTACCCGTTCAAACAGAGCAGCCTTTTCTAGTGTTAGGAACTAAGGATTTCTATGCCACCTAAGAAATAAAAAGTTAGCATTTTTTCTAACAGCACATCCTAAGTCTGGACCCTGCCTATGGGGATATCAGGTCAGGATATTCAGGGGAGTATCCTCACGTATGTTTCTGTAGACTTAATCCAGAGTATGCCTCCGTGTGGCCACATTTCATCTTGTGAAGACAGGAATGACATTGTTTTGGGATTCCAGAATATTATGTGGTTATGAATAATATATGCTGGGTTATTGGGTCAATATAAGAATAGTTAAGGGGTCAAAAGTATACATAAAAATAGAATATATTGTTGGTATGGATAACTTTTTAATTTTTTAAAATCGAACTGAAAATTCCTAATGAGAAACATTGTTGCTCTCTGTCTTTACAATTCTTTGCAGGCTGAGTGAACCCAACATGGCTTCCATCAGTGGGCAGCTGGAGGAGCTGTACATGGCCCACAGCAGGAAGGACATGAATGACACCCTGACCTCCGCCCTCATGGGTGCCTGCGTCACCGCCTCCGCCATGCCCAGCAGACTGATGATGGAGCATGTTCTCTTGGTCGGCGTCCTTCACCACACCGTTGGAATCGAGGTACAGTTGTACCTTTGTCCAGGCTGTCACCAGTGTCTCATGGCGATTATTTTAATGATGGGCTTGATAAGTGCATCATTGTGTGCTGTGGGTGGTTCTTGTGTTAATTCATTTTTGTTCTGAATAAATACTACATTGTCTATGTCATGTAATTGTAAACAGCATTCAGGAAGTACTTGATTTTGCTTAACTTTGCTTTTTTGTTCTGTC